TAGGCCTTTTATCATTGCTGTGAGGCTTTATATGGCCTCAGGGTTTAATGGATATTGAGGCAATTTAGGAAGAATTTTAGTCACACCTACCTGAAGTTTTATAGTCTGCACTTTTTATTCTCGCAGTGTCAGAAACAGACCACAGTTTTTTTGGTTTTGTTTTTGGCACCTCAGCTATATAGGGGAGCTTTGTTAGGATTTGTCCTCTTCTAGATCAAGAACAGATTATAAAGAGCATAAAGGATCAGATTCAGGTTGGTCAGGAAATTCTAAGGTAAAGTCTCCATTAGAAGCGAAGTGTATTGCCCTTTTACTTATTTTTTTAAGTCAAAAAAAAATTTTATTTATTTATTTTTTTATTTTAGGAGAGAGAGAGAGCACGCACACACACATGGGGAAGGGGCAGAGAAAGAATCCCAAGCCCCACACAGGACCCACTCTCAGCAACCATGAGATCATGACCTGAGCCGAAATCAAGTCAGATGCCCAGCTGACTGAACCACCCAGGCACCCCATATTAGCCCTTTTAATTTAGAAAGGAGATATCTACCTAATAAATTAACTGGAGCTGGATCACATAACAAAAAGGAATGGTTTTCAGTAACAGATCCCAGAGTCATTTGCACTGGTTGAGATAGAAACCCTCTGTGAACTTTATTAGATAAGCTCGCTAAGGAAACCTTTTTACTCAAGAGGAATTTGTTGTCCTATGAGAGTGGGGTTTAAGGAGAAAGCGGAGCTCCAGTAGCTATTAAAATCTGGCAAGGTTTTCCATCAATGTTAATTGCAGTTTCCCCCGACTGCTTAAGGGAATTACTGGTAACAGTCCTATCAGCCCTGGGAGGGGCCCATAAATGAGCCCACCCTTGGAGGCATTCAGGGAAGGGAAGACTTTGCATAGGACCTTTGAGGACAATTTTATTTCCAGTGCCCAACTGATTACAAACCTTTAGGCCATTGTTTTGATGGCGGAGCCCTAGAATGTGCAGGGCCCAGGTGTCATTTTAGCTCCCTGGCCTCGGAGCTGTTGTAGCTGTAAAGCCAACTTGGCAGGTTTTTGTTTCCAGTCTTACTTGAAGTTCCTTTCAAAATGCCCAGCGCTAGTGCTAAGTTCAGTCGGGTTGGTGGCCTCCTATCCTACTCTCTGCCCTTTTATTAGCCCACTGATCTCTGGAGGCAATCCATTTACTAATAGAGCAGCTAGGGCAAGTTGGGTGACCTCATTTAGTGTATGGAGTCCAGAATGCTGAAGGAAGAGTGCCTCCAAAAAAGGCTTTAAAGTCTGCCACAGGTTCATCTTTCTTTGTTTGCATGTTTGAAACACAGACCGATCAGTGCGGGTAGGGAAAACTCCAGGAAAGGCTTTTAAAAGATTAGCTGCCATTCTGGGAGCTTTCTCTGGTTTGTAAGAGCACCACGCTAGAGACATGGCATCTCAAATATCACCTTCAGAATTATGCCCTTCTTCCCGCATCCATTCTGGGGCTTCACCAGGTCCTACCAACAGTTGCACAAGCTGATAAAGACCTGGCAGCCTGGGGTCACAGGCTCTGATAAGGATTTAAAACTCTTAAAAAACTCAGCATCCTCCTCTTTATCTATGACCCTTAGTTGTCTTTGACCAAGAAGTGAGAGAGATCTGAGGAGGATGCCCTGCATCCTGCGGGTGGTTTTATTTTTAAAGGTAACTGCTCAATTGTCTCTTTGGAGTGAAAAGGCAGTTCAGATAGAGAATTAGTAGACCACGAGAACCCAGGAAAAGAAGGGTAGAGGGGAGCAGTAGAAGTCATGTCAGTCCTGTCCTCTTATCTTAGGTACCTTTTGTGTTTTTCTCATTAGCTTTCTGTAATGAGCCTTTCAAGAAGGCTATTTCAGAATCTTGAAGCCCTTTGGAAGCTTCTGCACACCAATTAATTAGGCATCCCTTTCTGTTTGCTTAATTTGGGAACCCTTACTTTCTTAAATGAACAATCTTGTCTAATTGGAATGCTTCCCGTAATGGCCATTGCGATTCTAGGTTATTTTTAGTAAAATTTTTCCATCTTGCTACCTACCTGCAACTCCTGGGACTATAATTCTTAGATGTAAAATAAGCTGGTGTGCCGAAAGGTGGCATGCTTGACTCTTCAGGATTTAAAGATCTCATTAGCCAAGATGTTGGGTTTCTGGGAGACAAACTAATGCCTAAAAGGGATACGCCATGGCGTTGGGGACTGTGCGTGTTTTACAGTGTACCTCATTGCACAGATGTCTTCTTGAGGTTGGCAGGGTACCTCGAGTCAATCTAACCTGTTCAGTGACTAACTTATCCTATCTTGAAAATCTTCTTGATGTGGCAAGCACTCTAACAACCTTTAAATGCCTGACCTGTGTCCACCAATTTTTGCAATTCTTTTGGCCTCCAAGATCCCTGCTAGCAATAGCCCTTATCTACACAAAACAAGACAGACAAACAAACAAGAAGGCCTGTACAGACTACCACCAATTCCCTGGGAAATTTGCTGAGGTTTTGTACTCTGGGACTTGTAATCTGAAAGGCTAAGGGTTTGGTTCTGGGCAGACCTTTCTGCCAGCTCAGTTGGGCTCTGGGCATAACTGTCTGCCAGTGTAAGCTGACCTGTCCTAGTTAGATTGGTGGCTCAAAAGCAACAACAACAACAACAACAACAACAACAAAGCCTCTCAGATCAAGAGGAGCTTACCCAAAGCCCTCAGAAATGGCGAGAAAGAGGAACCCAGTACTCGGAATTGCTGGCGAGGAAGTTATCATAAAGCACATCTTAAATAGGATTACAGATCATTACAATTCTTAAAACTTTATTTATTCAACCAACGTGGCAATAAAAGACCCTAAAGGCGAATGTATACCATTATATAGTTGTTATCGAAACTTAGCTCTTTCAACATTGAGAAGTTTTAACTAGGCAATTAAAGACCTGATAAAGATGAAACCTAAAGCTTTGTTTTTTTGGCAAAGAGAAAAAACCCTTTGTTTACATTGTCTTATCAAGAGCAGAACAGTCCAAGAAAACTTTGTCTTTTTGAACAGAGAGAAAAGCAGAATTTTAACCTTAC